TAGCCGAACAACTCCAGTCACCAGCACCTGGGCTGGAGGATAAAGAAGAAAAAACTTGTAGCAGAACCCTTTTCTGCGCTAGGAAGTTGAACAGTCAGCTTTCTTGTAGCAGAACCCTACTCGGCAGTGGAGACTAACCGCAACACTAGAGAATGCTTCCTCTTCCTTGTTTTCGAGCATCAGGACTATAGCTTCTATGCAGCAGTGGAGAGAGACCTCAACTAGTTGTTTTCCAGGCCTGGTCGGTTCCGCTCTGATGCCATGTTGAGCAGAAGAAGAAGAAGAAGAAGAAGAAGAAGAAAGGAAGAAGAAGAAGGAGAAGAGAAGAGGCTGCAGACTTAAGGCCTCAAAAGAACTGCTTCATTCGAGTGAAGCATTTGTATTTATACTATACTAGCCTTACAACACAAGAGGTCTACAAAATTACAAAAATATTCCTGCGGGCACTAAACCTGTGTACAGTACATACAATACATCTATCAACATCAGTCACAACCCCCATGAAGCTATTTTGTGACAACCAGGCAGATATTCATATATCCTCCAATCCAGTGTATCATGAGAGGACCAAACACATAGAGGTGGATTGTCACTTTGTTAAAGAAAAGATGATTAGTGGTGAAATGATTACCTCATATGTGAAGTCTGAAGATCAAATAGCTAACCTATTTACCAAAGGCTTGAGTGGTGCTCAAATGAAATACATTTGTAACAAGTTAGAGTTGTATGATATATACGCTCCAACTTGAGGGGGAGTGTTAAAATACAGCTTGTTCTAGGGTTATTTTAGTCTTTTCCCCTCTTTTAACTTTGTTTTTGTCTTTATTCTTAAGTCTAAGTATACAGGGGTAATATTGTAATTCTACATGTCATTATGAATTAAACATATACGGGTGGCAGTTCTCATACATGACTGAGACTGTTTTGCCCTACTCTATTCGTCTCCCTCTTCTCTTCTCCTTCACTCCTCAATCTAGACTCATACCAGAACCTTTTTCTTTTATTTATTTAAATAAATACAGGCCTGATAACACCATTATCAAAATATTTGGTAAAAATGATGATGTACCAAAAAATTTTTTTGGCATATCTTCATCATTTTTACCAAATAATTTGACAATGGATTASTAGTGATATGCCAAAATTATTTGATCATGTGCTTAATGATCTCCCCAACCAAGCACATTAAGAATACAGATAATACAATAACAACTCACCAAAGTCATGCAAGACTCTTACCTATATTTGAAAAGTTGCTTTGAAGCGATGAAATCAGGCTCCCACATATTTTGCTATCTTCCTGCTTTGTCCTCCCTTCTAGAGACTTTCCATATCCTGAACGTTGTTCATTAATACATCCAATCTCTGAACAACCAACAACTTTATTATCTGCACAAGGTAATGGTTCAAACCATATTCCACAGGGAAAGCTTCTCGGTTTTACCATCCAAAGGAAAATTTTAGCATAAGGTGTAGCATGAAGAATTGATACAATGACTTCGATTAATATGCAGATGCAACTAAAGACCATATTAATAATTGTGAAGAAAATGTAGAAAACAGAAGTTGTAGGTAGTAGAAGTAGGAGGGGTGTAAACAGAAGAGATCCAACAATATGTTGCTCCACCATGTAGTCATAACTATCAAACCTCTGCCGAAGTGGGTTCCATTTTCGACCCCTGCCAATAGCCCAAAAACAATCAGTTCCTTTATAGCTGAATTAAAGAAACCATTTTTCCTACCAAAAAATAAGAACTAAAGAAACCATTTCAGGATGAAGGTATAGTACTTTAACCTATCACTTTGGAACTTCTCCTGTCATAGGAAAATCATGTACATCTTAACTTACTAATCAACTTACCCATAAAAGAACACAAAATGTCAGCAGGAATGAAGAAATAGTCCTATCTTCTGCAAAAATGAGTATTGATATGTATCTAAGCATAGAAACTTTACATGTACATCCAACAAGAAAGAAGAGAGAAGAGAGAGATCTGAGAGCAAAAGACTATACTGGCGGCGCCAGCTTTTTGGTATTTATATTAGGGCAACCATAACATAACATAAAAGAGGGGGAATTACAATAATACCCCTGTGATACTAATCGGAAATAAAAAACAAAGGACAAAGATCTTATAAACAGACTTTTAACACTCCCCCTCAAGTTGGGACACAGATGTCAATCATGCCCAACTTGTCACATAAATCATTATGCCGCAAATGATGCAACCCTTTTGTGAAGATGTCCGCAAGTTGGTCTTCCGACCTGACATAGGGGGTGCACACTTCCCCTTTGACAACCTTTTGTTTGATGAAATGCTTGTCTACCTCAATGTGCTTTGTTCTATCATGCAATATTGGGTTAGCAGCAATGTTTATGACTACCTTGTTATCACAATATAAAGTCATAGGTCCATCAACTGTAAATACTAGCTCACTCAACAATTTTTTTAGCCACATTATTTCAGCCACTCCATGAGACATTGCTCTATATTCAGCTTCAGCACTAGACCTAACCACCTCATTCTGCTTTTTGCTTCTCCATGTGACTAGGTTTCCTCCCAAAGATACAGTAGCCGTTGGTAGACTTCCTATCATCCAGGGATCCTGCCCAATCTGCATCAATATACACTTCAACCTTCAAATGCCCGTTCTTTTGGTACAATAAACCTGCACCTGGGAATTTCTTAAGATATCTGAGAATTCTTTCAACTGCTTCAAGGTGGGTGGTCTTAGGGGCATGCATGAATTAACTAAGAACACCTACTGCATAAGCAATGTCTAGTCGAGTCATGGAGAGATATAGCAATCTTCCTACAAGCCTCTGAAATTGCTTCACATCTTTGATGACTAGGACACTCAATTTGTGATTAGGATCAATAAGAGAATCAACGGGTTTCACTCCCAATTTTCTTGTATCCAGTAACAAATCTAAGACATACTTTCTCTGAGAAATGAGATACCCTTTTGTGAGCGGGCATCTTCAATTCCAAGGAAGTATCTCAAAGGACCTAGATCTTTCATCTCAAACTGAGTACCAAGATATCCCTTCAATTTTTGAATTTCATTTTTCCAATCACCAGTGATAACTATATCATCAACATACACTATTAGGGCTGCAATTTTCCCTTCCTCTCTTTTCACAAACAATGTATGATCAGATTGGCATTGCTT